AACTATAACACAATACTAGTCCTTATTATGTTTCCCAAACGGAGTTTGGGAACATATTGTTTTTACTCGGTTTCTAACTATTATTATTCTTTTTTCTTATTTCTTTTCCGGTACTTTTCTGTCCGCGAGTGTTCTCAGAAACTGTTCACGCAGCTGAGCTAAAACCTTTTAGGGTTAATTGGTGTGTAGTGTAGGTGTGCGGAACGAAGGTCATTTTGCGCGCATACGCATGCACGTGCGGGCGCGTGAAATTAGTGAAATGACATATAATTAATACAGCCATAATTTTTACATTTTTTGATGAAATGCTTTAAAACTCATTATATAAAGATGAATTAATAGTGTAGATAAAAAGACCCTGTCAAATTAGCAAGACTCACGCGCATGCACATTCGCTTTGCTCTGATTGGCTGAAACAAAAATCTCAATATCTTTTCTGTTTTTTGACGAAATACTTTGAAAATTTAAAACATAGTCATGCATTAGTATATCCTACAGTATGATATATAACAATTGTAATGAAAACACGCGCATGCACGTGTGCTGCAATCTGATTGGCTTAAACTTTAAATGGCTATAACTCACTTGTTTTTCAACCAAACAGGATGGGATATAGAACATAGACAGACATAATGGACTCCTATAAGAAGGTATGGTCATCATGCATATGCATGCACGTGCGTACACATGCAATGAATAAAGTTACAAATGCACTTGATTTAGCGTATTTTTTTTTTTTATACTTTTTGATTAGATACCTTAATATAAATTAAAGTATTTTGATAGTGTAGATAAAATGATGTCATTTTGCATATGCATGCACGTGCGCTCACGTGCAAAGCAAAAATTTGCAATATACTTGATATACAAATGTACTTAGGAATAACATTGTTAGAGTGTAAGATGCATAGAGTTTGCCTTATTAAATGAAGCTTAGAGGGAATGAGGCACCAAAAGGAAGTTGGGGAGCGTTTGGGGAACATCTGTAACGGTTCCCATTACAATTAGCCCTAGTTTGAATGTGTAAGGGGTGGGATTTCGGGATACGATTGACAGATGGGATTAGAGAATCTGTTATTGAATACAATTTTTAAAGATTGATTATATATTGTTTTACGTCCCTCTTGAGAATTTTTTACTCATATGGAGATGTCATTACTTGCCTGTGGAAAGCTGCAAATTTTGTTCCATAATCGGCAATCAGGTCCATTGAGCAGGAAGGGTTCTTTTAAGGAGTCATATCCCCTAATACCCCGGTAATTGATCATTAATTCTATACTTTAATCAACATAAGAAAACAAGAAACATCTTTTACTTTTTGTAAAACATTTATTGTTCTTTGTTGTTAAATAATGATTGTTGATGACATTTTGTATAAATTATATATGAATGAATACATATAGGATGGGGTAAACATATAGACTGACTAGAGATATATAGATATACTCAACAAATATGGAATTTTCTCTTTAAACATTTGTTTTTGTTTTATATACTAAATGAGATACACCTTGCACAACAGCTGACAATTACTATTCATCCATTTGGAAGAAAAAAAATATGAATGTTAATTGTGACGTAATCTTATATATATATATTTGTGCATGGTCTTACAGAATGAAATATCATGAAATAAATTGCGATCAACTGACCATTCAAGCCATAATTAAGGGAGGCAAGAAGTGTTTGGGGAGCTGTACATAAGCATAGAATGGCAAAATGAAAAGAAAAGAAATTAATTTGCTTCCACGTACAACTTCACAGAAATGACAGGTATTTTGTCAATGAATGAGCAAACATTGTATAATTAGTACATGTAGTATTAATTAATATCAGTAAATGATAGCAAAATCTGATCACATTAATGAAAGGAAAACAAAACAATAATATATTATTAGGGGACATAACCTCATGCCTTGAAAGGGCCATAACTCATGATAAAATAGGCAAGAAACCAATAAGCACCAAGTTTATTTGCTTTGCCAAGTGTTGTGTTTCTTGTCTTAATGCTGTCATAACCTGTTCCGCAGAATAAAGATAATCCTAGAGTACAAATGCTACCAATACAGACCTCTGTCCTGCAGATTTTCAAGTGCCGCGAAAAAAAAAACGAAGAAATAAATAAATTTCATTTAAAAAAAAAATCAAAACCAGAAGGTGAAGTTAGAAAATTCATGTATCTCCATGACATAAACTGGATATCAAAAAAATGTTTGAAGTCGCAACACCTTCTATGATGTTGGTCAGTTTCAGAAAAGGGGGGGGTAATAATTATAGAAATTGTTGTAATTATGACCTCGGGCCACATCTACATTAAAAAACAGTATTCTGGTTTGTAAACTAGTCTAAAGGTCGTTCATCTTATCAATTTTAAGGATCTGCATGACATACACATTTTGATGAGGGAATGGGGGGGGGGGGGGGTATCGGGTACCAGAATTGTTGCCTTTTTTATAATAAAAAAAATTAACATTCAATTTTAAACATAAGAATTTATCAGCTAAAAACATCTGAGGCAGATATGTTTATCAATGCTGTATTGTAATGTCTTAACCCTAGCTATAATACAGATGAATTTTCACTCTTTTAACCCCACAAAAAATATGCTCCGTGATTAAAAATAAAAAAGTGAAACATACATCAAATATTGGTTAAAATACTCAGGAAGCATTTTTATCAAACTCAATATTTGACATCATTTTTCCAAATGTTCATAAGCACACAGAATAAAAATATTAAGATACATTGCACAACCGATGTTTGCCTTTTTAACAAGACATTTGGAACCTTATAGTCCTTCTTAATATAAATAGTGTTAGTACACATCTTCTTGTTCAATCTTGCCCACACTGTGGAAATGTCCTTCCATTTTAATGTTCTGTCTACTGTGCTTAAAAAATTCTGCAATTTTTTTCCAAACATATTACTTAGTGCTTCTGTGTCATGATGCTACAGGGACCGTAATATCCAAAGTACTAATGATATTTCATGTGTTTTGTGTAGATATTGCTTTGGCATTTACCTCTCAAGAGAATAATGTGAATTTTCCTTCCCAACAAATACTGAAATCACTTAAATATTGAGCAACTTTTTTCCAGTATATATTTGCATGAATAAAAAAATGTGCAAAAGCCTTGGAAGAGAAAGGGTGTCCAAATGCTAGAAGCCAAGCAGGAAAGCATTAAATTAATATATATAAAAAAAAGGGGGGTTAGCGCATAAAGGAATATCAATTAAATACCCACTTAATGAGACTGCTGAAATAAAAAAAAATTTAAATATGACACAAAGAACACCCATGATAAAGGTTTGTTTCAGTGTGCAGGGAAAACAATTTCAAAAACTGTGCATTTTTCTTCAAATAATATTGAAATACAATGTTATCTGTACAAAGAATCAAGTAGAAAACTTGTACTGGATTCGGATACAAGTACCATACAATAAATATTTTCTTCAACAATTAAAAAATACAAGACTGAAACCAGCAGCCTCATTCTATGACGTTTTTATTTTCATGGTTTGCCTTTAAATTTTGAAATGCATTTGATATGACACAAATGTGTTAATGTATATACAAACATTTTGCTATAAAAAATATCTTTTAAATTAAACCATCAATTTAAAACATAATTTATGCAGAAAATCAATGAATAAAATGCCAAACAATCATGAATTGTAAATCAAAGACAATCTTTGTAAGAAATAGAAGGAATCATTCATACATTTTCAGCCTCAATATTATAAAAGTTCCAAAATATTAAGCACTGAATCTGAATTCAGAGCTCCAAAATGCTCTCTATGGGGATTTACCAATTCCCAGTTTCCTGACAGGAAGTGATGTCATTTCTATAATTAAAACTGGAGATTCCCATTTGAGATTCTTTACAAACTATACTTCATTATGACTACTTAAAGCTAGAGCATTGTCAGATGTGAAAAGTCCTTTTAAATCTGACTGAAAAAAAAATTTCCGTAGGGGAAAACGTGCCATTTTCATAAAATCATGTTAAAAATACAAGTAGTGTTTTTTACTTTAAAATGGTGTCAAATTTATTTTTTTAACACTTGTAAATTTTCATATGAAACCAGCTCTAAATGGCTTATAAATTTTTTTATAAAATGTTTTAATTCAAGTGTGAGCCAGGATTTTTTTTTTCAATTAATGTTGCACAAATTTCTCCTAAAATACAACTCTCTCCCTGCTCTGATGCAGCACTAAAAATTTAAATACGATCCAACGGCAAATTGATGACACTGATGTAGCCTGCGAATGTTCCTAACTAAACATGCCAGATTAGTCTACCTTTAACTACCATTCTAGAAATAGATATTTTAGCACTACTTTTATGTAAGTAATTTTTTAACAAAAAGGACACTGTAAATGGAATCCTTTGTAGATAAAATGATTTTATTTCTTCACCTTGCCTTTTCTCTTCTACTCCACATCAAAATTATATTCCATGATTTGAAAAATAAACTTGAAGATAAATCTCAACCAATTTGTAAGGGGAAAAAAAAGAGAATACACTTAAACATTGGGAATCGTTTCATGAAAGGAAAAAATTGTCCACAGACTTGAAATTAAGATTAAGAACAAAAATTTATATTTCTGTGAAGCTGAAATTAATGATAACTGTGGCAGAGGCATCAATAACAAAACCTTTATTTTGGTGGATGGTGAATGTGTGAGGGCGGAGGGGCACCCCGGGCGGGGGGAGGGGGTCCCTCCTAAGTAAAATGTTTAACACTTTTTGAAGTATATAATCATCATACACACATACAATAAACATAATTTTGGGGGGCAGGGCACAACATGAACATAGAATAATCTCTATCAATAATTAAAAATATTTAAAAGTGATTCTAATATATAGAAAAATTCAACCAATATGAATCGTTCTCTTATACAAACACACATTTGTACTTTCACCTACTGTATCAATCGCCCTATGACACGATTACAAAAGATATACAGGTAAGATATTTTTCTTAATGAGACAATACTGGCAAGTCCGAGCAAAATTTCAGTCCTCCAAAAATTGTCCACACCTCCTGATGTCCGTCGACAATTTTTGATTTGAAAGTTGAGACGAAAGAAAAAAATGATCCTGTCACTGTATCAATTTTTTTTCTACAGCGTTTTTTCTTCTCTCTATCTCTATGTCCCAGCCTGAGTTTGTATGTAATAAAAACATGGTGGTTTGCCTCTGATCACTGACTCAATAGTTAGCAGGTTCAGTCCACGTGTTTGTTTTTAAAATTTTCTTTTTGGAGGATCTTAATCGCAGCAATGGAAGCCGACAGCACCACCATTTCCCCTACGTCAGTGAGCCTCGCGATTCTGAAATAATAACATACCGTTATAATGCGTATAAAAGTACCCCTACAGGCAAAGCATCTAATTATTACACAGGATGGTTAGAGATACATTCAATGTCTACCAATATCTTAAGTCCATATACTGTATGTGTATACTATAAACCAGCTATTATTTGGGTCATCTTTTAATCTGGGTCAATCTGTGACAATTAAATTCCTTGACCTATGAACAATCTCAACACATTCTAAGCAAAATAAATGATTTACTTGCATTAATTTTTTTTTTTTCGCAATTGAAAGAAGGTTCCAAAACTATATTTCTCGCAAAGCCAATAAAAGTTGATTGAAAGTATTTTCTTTGAGCCTGATACTGTAAACCAACTTTTATTTGCGTGCGATAAATATTGGCGAGTCTGCAACCAACTTTATTCCGCAAATATTAATCACCCTGAACCAATAATTTTGATTAGTATTTGTAGAGATGTTTCCTTGGCTGTGAAAATTAATCATCGCAGATTAATTACAAATGGATGAATAGTGAGTAAAAGATGACATGAATAATAGTTGGTTAACTTTACAATATAACCTCCATAGATGACACCTACCTGCCTTCTGAAGAGCCTGCTAAAAAGCCCACCCCGGGGCGGGGGAGGGGGAAGTTCCTCAATCAGGTCAGGTGGGGGGTCCCCGTCTTCATTGAACACATTTAGTTCCTTAAAACAATCCATCTCAATCATCTAAAATAAAAACATAACTGCTTTTTAAAATCATGTCAAATTGAAGAAGTCAATCATATCAGTAAAATATTGTAAGCTTCCTCAGCACCCTGTCAAATGACAATCAGCTTACAATGTTTCCATCCCGTGTAAATTCAATAAATTATATTTTTATCAGGACTACTCATGACATCCGTCCACATATAAAAAAAAGGGGGGGGGGCATCCTCAGCCCGTCACATGTATTTAAACACCCTTGATAATTTACTTCACATCCTTGTAAATCATAACCAAGTTCCATTTTTCGTTTCAAATATTTCATTTAATAAAGACTTCAAAGTTCAATGAAATATAACAAAACAGTCAGTACATGTATGAGTATATAAAGTCCTAGCTTAACATCTCTGGCCTAATAAAATACAGTGGATTGCGGTGTCCGTGCGGTGGAGAAATTATACACTACTTAATTTGTATTAGTTTACATTATTTTCTTTTACCTAAGTCACTAGTAATTTACAGTCAGTGATGTTGATGACGTAATGTGACCTGATCGTTACGATCTTCGTGATGAAACTGGCGTTCGCTGCTCGTATACAGGTGACTCTCGATCTCTCGAAGTTCAAGGGACCGCGAGAAAAGTTCGAGAGATCGAGGGGTTCGAGAGATGGAAAGTAATAAAATCCGGAATTTTCAGTTCCGATCATCGAAGTTCTACTTTTACAGATACCGGAAGTATATGTAAATAATGTCAATGCACGTCTTCAATCGTATTTTACAGGTAATTTACTTGATTTCAACAACAATGATTGTATTTCAAATAAATAAAACGAATTCCTAAAGATTCAATAGTTATTTGTTCTTATTTCATGATTACATGAAACCCGAAAAGCAATTGTAGGTTTGGCTATTCCGCGGCTTTGAATGGGTCCTTCACCAGTGTTCACCAGATTTTTCTTAATCGGTATTCTGACCTTGAGAAAAGAATTTCTTGTGTAATATTTCCCATACTAGGATTATGTAGACTCTATATAATCAAAATGAAAGTTCATAGTGTATGAGAACTTACTAAAACGAACATCTATAAATTAATTTAAAAAAAATCATCGTCTCGGTTTCACATCAAAATAAGTTGTGAATTTGTTTTTAATTTACCCCGTGAATAATAACCAATTGATTATAACAACACATGGACGACCCACAGGTGTTGTGTCATCTATGTAAACACCCAATTAACACCTCCATGCCAGCCCAAGGCCTTCACGGTTTCCAGGTAAGTCCAGACTGCATCAATTTTACGCTTGATTGGCGTGTATACACGCGCAATCAAAACTTCTCGAGATAGAGAGTAAAATTCAATGAAATATGTGTAACGGGGCCCAGGTTTTAGTTCGAGAGATAGAGAACTTCGAGAGATGGAAGTTCGAGAGATCAGGAGTAAATTTGCTTAGTTATATAGAGGAAAAAAACGGGACCGGAGGTTCACTTCGAGAGATAGAGAACTTCGAGAGATCGGAGTTCGAGCCATCGAGTGTCACCTGTATATAACCTTCTATAATTGGTCACGTGATCACAACAACCAATGAATAATTGTCCTTTCTGGAGTCTCTCAGAACTACTTTACATACATTTTGTGTAATACAAAGAAAATAACATCGCTCAAAATGTCCTTTCTACATGTAAAGTGGGAGCTATAAATTCTATTCGATATACATAATAAAACAAGTTCACCAAACAATATATAATAAAACGGACACACACAATCCATGGCGTAGTAATACCGAACAATAATGCAAACACATAAGTATTACGCTACACATTCAAGTTCCAAAACATTTCGTCAAATAAAACATAATTAAACGACAATACTGCAATAAAATAACATTAAACTATTAATTATAAATATTTGAGGACACGGACAGTGTTATTTCGATCTCATCAATTGTAAAACGACAATGTTTACGTCACATGACTACTTCCTTCGTAAGAAAGATGGCAAGCGCCCAATTTACAACACATGTGATAATGCTGAAATAAGTAAGTAAATTACAGTCGTAATATGGTAGATAATGATGAAAAACTGACATATAACATCTCAGCATAACTGTTCCTTACTGTCTGTTCAACAATATCTCACTAGATCGTCTAGTAACACAAAAACAGCATTTGTTTACATTACAATGTCGAAGTGCAATGTGTATTGCATCAATATTTCAGGTAAACAATAAGATAATGAAATAACATGAACAATAAAACATTTCTAATAAATTTACAACTGGATGCTACTTTACTTCACTTAAAAACACTCCACCATCAGCCTGTGATTAATTAATATGCAAAAATTCTAAAGTCCAACCCCCATGCATATTACAATATACTGTAAACATATTACATTTAGCGAGTGCATCGCTTAATGTCTCGAATACAATAAATTTATATCCAACACATTCCGATGGCACTTCCTGAAATCTATGCTAACTTGTTGAAAACCTAATTTCCTCCAAATATCATTCTTGCCAAATATGATACATTTAATGTATTCAGTTGATTTCTGATATCATTGATTTTTATGCATCACTTAAAAGAAATGTGGTCTCCTGCTTTTTTTGAAGAGGGAATTATTATTTATGGCATATTGTAATTGTCTCGTCTGTTCATACCAAAAAATAAAAATTATTTCAAGTAATAAAAGTTCTGGCTAAAGACTGGTTTACGAGACTGCATCAGTCAAGGTCATGAGGTCATATATATTTAAAAATTCCAAAAGGTGCCATTATACGTAATGAATGTTAAAAAATGTGTAAGTCCTGTCCTGTCTCTACTGGTGCTAAAGTTGCAGCCTATGATTGCCTCATTCTGTTATGGTATTGATAAATTGTATAAAACAGAAGTGCCATAGAACATGCTAATAATGAAGTACCAAGCACAAACTATTTTGATTTGCTATAAACGTAATTTGTTGTATCCGTTAAGTTCACAATACATTTTAAAGCAATGGGGAATGAAACACATTTCACTGTAAGCAACAGTTTGTAATTTATAAGCAGGTTCGGTATCACCATATTTTAATGTACTGACTTTATAAAGGCCTATCTTTACCTCATTCTGCCATAGTATTGATACATCGTGTTAAACAGAAGTAGTGAGTTTATGATGGACTATGATTTATTTACCTCATTCTGCCATGGTATTGATACACTGCCCGTACTGAACTTTGTATAAAATGAGTCGTCCGTTGCGTCAAGATTGACTCCTTTGACCGTGGAAAACTGCTCTATATCAAGAACATCTTTACAGTATACGGCTCTTTTCTGCAACATTAAAGAATTAGTTATTAAATTCTATGTATAATATAAATGAATTTGCCATTAAATACCTGATTTATCAACTTTCGAGCATAGACTCAGTTGAGCCTCTGTATCTCACACAATATTGTAAACAAATTTCATTTGTGTGCGAGAAATATCAAAAGTTTTGCGACCTACTCTAACGTGCAAATATTAATCGCTCTGAACCATTCATTTTCCTGAAGTATTTGTTAAGAGCATTTCCTCAGTTGGGAAAATTATTTGTCGCAGATTGATTTCAAATTGACAAATTGTGAATAAAAGATGACACAAATGATAGATGGTTTACAATAATATCTGGAATGCCTAAGATCCTGGGTATGTCTAATGATTTAGAAGTCCCTATGGCTTATTCTTCAATTAATTAACCCTCGTTATCTCTAATCATTGGCTATCTCAAAGTTTTTTCTTGATCCCATTTAATTTGAATTACTTTACTTTTTTCAGTTTAGTCTTGTATGATTCATCTAAAACATGTATGATCAATTAACAACTTAACTTACATCAGGTTCAAATGGAGGATTTAATATTCCTGCCCGCAACCTTTTAAAGTTTATCGTTTTGAAGAATTCATGTGACTTGACGTCTTTGGCACCATAGGGCCCACATCCCAGTCTTGACTTTGGATCTTTGTTAAGAAGCTAAAAAAAACAAAACAAATTAAAACAATCTTTTATAATACAGAAGAAATAACTCTGCTGAACCCCCACCCCTCACTTTCAGCCCCCCTCCCAACCCATTTTTCCCTTATCAAGTGCCTTTCTTTAAACCACAAAAGTCAGTATACCAAAAAAAAAATATATATAGACTTTTTTGCATTTTAACGCCATCTAAATTGTTTAAATAACCTGTTAATGATAAGATGTATAGCCATAGCTCTAACAACCCCCCCTCCAATCCCACGCAACCCAAATTAATTACCTTTTTAAAGATGTCCAGCCAATAACCTGAAAACAAATTTTGTTGTACCTTTTTACAGATGTTCTGACATTACGATATCACCTTACCTTTTCACAGATGTACTGACGTTGCGTTTTTGCCATACCCTTTTATGATTTAGCCGTACTTTATTACGATTTTGCTTTTTACAGACGTCCTTAAATTAAGATTTTGTCATACCTTTTTACAGATGTCCTGACATTATAATTTAGCCGTACCTTTTTACGTTTTTTCCATACCTTTTTATGATTTTGACTAATCTTTTTACAGATCTCCTGACGTTACGATTTTGCCTTCCCTTTTACAATTTTGTCGTACCTTTGTGCTATTTATCCGTACCTTTTTACAGATGTCCTGACATTACGATTTTTCCGTACCTTTTTATGTTTTTGTCGTACCTTTTTACAGATGTCCTGACATTACGATTTAGTCGTACTTTATTACACACTAGGATATCGCCGTACCTTTTTACAGATGTCCTGACAGTCCTCGGAGAATTTGACGGAGTACTCCTCCTGATCCTCCTTAACTCTGCGATCCACCTCCTCACGCTTCACCTTCTCCTTCCGTGCCCGGAACGGCCCCTGATAAAATAATAATGTCATTACCTTAATTTATACTGATTCAGTGTTTATTTAAACGATGAGATGTCTTTCTTTGTTTTATCACTTTTTGCAAATCAGATTTAATGCATCTTAACAGGTTTGGAATACTATACACCCTTTCTCTATTTAAAAAATATCTATTAACTATTGATGGATTGAACAGAAATTTTGATTCAATAGAAATCTGATCTAAATGGAAAAACATATGTAATTAAAGTTTACAAAGCTCACCTCAATAAATGTTATCAATTTAAGTATTGCAAACCTCACATCTTATTTTCTTTATAGTTAGTATGCATCCTGACAACAATATTCATGCAAATTCTGTTTAAGTAGGTCTAATAGTTCATTGAGATGAGAATTGACCTGTTTCAAAATCTTTAACCTGTTTACTAATCGAGAAAATGTCTTTCATTTGCTACATCAAAAGCAAGTCAGGAACTGGACCTTGTCGAGGTGAGCTGAAACAATGATTACAGATATAAATTCTGTAAATGACTCACCTTTCCTTCAATCATTTCATAAATGATACAACCTAGACCCCACCAGTCTGGGCTAAAGGAGTAACGCTCGTTCTTCACCACCTCAGGGGCTAAAAAATAAAATTGATCAAGTCAAGGTCAAATTTTATGTACATTCAAACTCATCTATAGTTATACAAATAAACAATTTCTTTCTATAAAAAAATTATTAGATCCAAGTTTTCTCACCCATGTAGCCAACGGTGCCAACCCGACCCTTGATTGTCTCCCCTTCTGGTACTTCTTCCGCCAGTCCAAGGTCAGAAATACGCACATGACCTGTAAAAAGATCAGTCATTATTTCCTTTTGTAAACAGGAGGGAGGGGGGGTCTTTATTCCAAACAAATATGGAAAAATAAACTGTAAACATTTTTTACTTCTATGCAACTCTTCCTGGCTGGGAATTTTTGGCAGTCATATATATATGTAGTTTTATAAATTAATTTATTTTATTTTTCAAAAAAGAAGAGGTCTCACTCCAACTTTGGTAGAATGGTCATGGCTTATATAGTATGTATACTTTCTACATCATGTTGAAGAAATTGTGCACTCTGTATTCTATAATATGCAAAATTATAAAGTGGATAGATCTGACTCTGAAATATTTCTAAATGCTCACATCATAAGCCAAATATATACTAATTGATGCACCAATAGATGTAATAAACGTGTATATCCCTCAAAATTATGAACATTTAAGCACAACCAACTTATAATGTACTGTAAGTGTTTGAAGGACAAATTACTGTAAACATATTACATTTGGCTAAGTATCTATTTACAGCTTTTTGCAGAGAGAAACTACCGCTAATTTAAGTACAACAATAAATGTCTTAAAAACGTAGACATAAATAAGACCATTGAGAAACATGCTAAATCAGATTTTTGCTAACTTGTTCAAAAATTAATTTCCGCCAAATATTGTACACGCTAAATATAATACATTTACAGTATAATATAGCACAAGTGACAACATACAAATGAATGTGCACAGCTCTTAAAAGGCATAGCACACTAGCACAAAAGACAATGGATGTGCACAGCCCTCTAGACATTTCACACTATCTCAGGGTTCCCCATCAGCTGTTTTACTGTGTTGCTCCCGACACAGTAAAATTTTCATTTGAGCACAGTAACGATTCAAATTTCATGCATGCGACACAGTAAAAATTTTGCCGACACAGTAAGAGTTGGGATAATTAGAAAATCTAAACACACAAATTTTCTCTAACTGAAACTTTAATCAAACAATTATACCGTCTTTCAATTCAAAAAGTTATAACACTTAATTACTAGGGTTTCACCTTGAGTAATCAATCAATTATCTCCTACACCCTCACTGGACTTTATGCATGACGGAACAAAGACAAATAAATTGTTTTCACAATTCAATGTACCGGTTAATTGGTAGTTGGCTTGCAATAAAATACATTGAATTATTTATGAAAAATATTTAAATATGTCTTTCCTATAGAGCCACGGCTCTAGAATTATGTAAGTCAAACATAACATCGTATCGAAGTCATTTAATTGATGTAAATAAATTGCCGAAAAATTTGAAATTTCAGCATGTAAAAGGAACTCTTTAAAATATTTTTATGCATATTCATAAGTCCCTTTTTTGTAATGCGGTAACTTTTAATAATCCTGATAAATAAACACGGCAAATCTACTTTCTAAAAAATGTTAAGTAGTTGACTATCGGTCAGAATTTCCTGACATGATTTTCAGAACGTTTAAGTTCCCCTTGAAAACATGTACGACCATGCCATTTGTGTAAAGAATTAGCTGTTTTTAAATAAATGTATGCTTGTAATCTTTTGTAATTATAATGAATTGAGATTCAGTTGCAGCACATGATATTTGTCACACTGTGCGAAATATTAGTGCTTCACGTAAACTCTGCAACACAGTAAAATCTCAAATGATGGAGAACCCTGCTATCTTAACTGGCAAATATAATTGTGCACAGATCACTGTGTATCCATGGTGACCCAAATCTACTTCCTTGACAAATCAACTAATTCTTTGCTGACACATTTTAAAAGTCATTTCAATTAACCCTTAAATTTATGAAAACTGGTAATTATCGTAAAAGACGTGATAATTAATTACATAGCCTGTCTTTGACTTGATGTTGAGCACGTAGCACGTAGCATGTTAGGTAAAATTATGCAAATGATAAATCAATCCATAGCTTAAACGACATAAGCAACAGAAATCCGAGACATAGAAGTGTTTAAATTGTTAACACTTACCGTGATCATCCAATAATATATTCTCTGGTTTCAAATCCCTACAAAAGAACTTGAGTACATTAGTCAGCATTAAGTATTTCTTTTAAATAAGCATTTTTTAAAACCAAGAAGTGTAATTGGTATTGGGTATATATATTAATTTTATGATCATTTACGTACATGTATTAATAAAATTTATCAACTAATTATAAATATTAAAATTAGACTACATAAAATTTAATATAGAATTTTACACGTCGATGCCTTATACAATCTGGGTTACTGAACATCAGTGCTTAAAGCAATATATGAGTTGCATTTTTGAAATTTTTCTTTTTGCTGTTAAAATGTGTTATGTATTATGATAAATTTGTATGCAACTTAAACTTTTATGATCAATTAAACTAAAATAAAGCAGAAGAAAGACTTCAAAATACAATCCAATATATATAGTTTTAAATAAGAAATCATTATTGTACAGGACGACAATAATGTAATTTTGATTAAATCGAAGCTTATAAATATAGTTCTTCCTTTGGAAATATGAACAACAGAAGTTTATTTACATTATTTTTTCCGTCATTGAAATAACTATTTACAATTTAGAACAAAAAATTCTGACATCAAAGTTGCAGCTCATATTGCTTTAATTGTTTCATAATATAATCGTTTTAAAAAACCTTTTTTTTTCCCAAGATTTTTTTTTTAACACTAATGTATTTTGAATTGGTTCACATACAAAGGGAAACAAAACCAATAAATTCCCTGTGTAAGCTGTGTGCATTATTTCTCCATTATCTTTTCTCTCTCTCTTCACCTTAAAAAATAATTTGAAGCTTTATTACAGCTTCTGATGGAAAAAAGAACACACATTACATATAACATACCTATATACAATCCCCTTTAAATGGAGGTCCTCTAATCCACACGTAATTTCTGCTGCATAAAAAATGGCTCTTTCCTCCTCAAAACCTGGGTTACCCATATTGTGTATATGAAACTTTAAATCTCCCCCATTCATTATAGTCAACACTAAACACAGGGCCTCTTTGGTTTCAAATGCATAGGCTAAACTAACCTGCAATATGAAATCATTTGACATATGAGTACAAGTATATCAAACAAAGTTGCAAAATTTACAAATTTCATAGCACTTGATTTATCATAGCGCAATCACTGTTCAAAATACTGGATTTAAACTTTCATTAATTTTGAATTTCAATTTTTTTCTTGATTTCAAAACTTAATAAAAATCAGTGATACCAATAAAAGTTTTGTGTTTTGAAATGCATACAGCAAAGCATAAAAATCTTTGCAGAAGAACAAAAAACCCTAATATTTTAAGTAAATGAAGATGGTATGACTTTTCTGCATTCAACCCTGCCCTGCAATATACATGCCTTTTGTCAATTAGACAGAGACTTTTTATGCTGAACACTTTAAAATCACATTGAAAACTACAAAAAATCTGAATGCCAGAATACATCATGAGAATCAATTTTCAAAACATATGAGCTAGCTATTTTTAAATCCACAACATGCAGTTTTCTGGATATGAAGGCTGCAACAAATAATGCACACAGAAAGTTGAACCCACGTACACTACTAAGTTTCTGTTTTTACTTTTCATCAATTAAAATTCAATCTATCATAATCATAACTGTACATGTATTCTGAACCTCTTAAAAAGGAAAAGGCATTTAGTGAATACCAGCAAAAAACCATGGTGTTAATACATTTCTCAGAGCCAACATATATATTTCTCTGTAAATAAATTCTTTTCCCTTCAAGAACTCATTCCCTGACTTCAAAAGCCGAGAGAAGTGATAATAGCTTGAGTCCTCCACAAAACCCCAGCTATTTACTTTTACAATGAGAGGTGTATGTTTATACCATTATCTTCACACCTCTTCTGTTGTCTGCATCATAAAAACCCCCACTGTATCTACAACCCCCTCCACTTAGAACTACACAGCTCTGATCAAAGACACAAGGAAAGGAACGTAACGATCCACCACCTGTACCAGTTTGTTATGAACTTTACAAAAATTGCCTCATAACAAGGAGGAAAAAATTATATGCTGCACGTTCTAAACATTTTTGTGGTCACTTCTGGAATAACATAGTTATATATCAAGAGAATAGTATGAAAGGAAAGTGGAAAACAAATACACGACTTTGATTCGCATTAAGGCTCTCTAACCCTCTGATTGCAACACATAAAATTTTTCTTTACAATTTTTTCAACTGAAATTCATTTGTTTACTACTAAAATATGCACAATTTCAGCATAGGTTGAGGAGCAAAATTTGAACAAAAATAGCCTTTCCACTAGACAATTGTATAAGGGAATAACAGACAATTATCCAAATAAAAGTTGTCTCCCTTATTTAAATGTCAATTCACCTTAAACTGCAACTGAGATAGAAATAAAACCCAGATACTTACGACAAACCTTGAGTTGACCTTTTGTAGAATCTGTTTTTCATTCAGTGCCATTCTCTCCCCATTGCGTTTCTTGATTCGCTTTTTCTCCAGCTTTTTACATGCATACATTTTCCCCGTGGCCCTGACCTGGCACGCACACACCTCCCCGAACCCGCCTTTACCCAATACCCGATACATTCGAAATGTATTTTTTGTGACTGGTTGACTGAAAAAAAGAAGTAAAGATATACATTCTAAAATTTGTAGATTGATACACATTATTCAGTACAATATATACATTCTAAAATTTGTAGATTGATACACATTATTCAGTACAATATATACATTCTAAAATTTGTAGATTGATACACATTATTCAGTACAATATGAATTTGTTAAAATCGAATTCTTACTCCTCAACCCCAAACACCCTTTTTCTCCAAATATAATGTTTGTATCCCATTTTGTTACACTTTTAAACACAACTTTTTGGAGGGTGGGGTTAAACTTTCTTTCTTATACCCGTGTTCATTTCTTCTTCTATTTTTTTTTTTAAAGTTTTGGTATAATATGATACCTTTCAATCATTAATACTTTTACCAAATCACACCTGAGTCAAATGCATAAAGTAAAAATGTCTCAGAAAATATTCCATACTGAAAAACATCATTTTGCCATTTAATGTATTTCTGATATTAGATAACTCAACATTTTAATCAAAAAGCACACTCATGCTTCTCCCCAAAATATGATCTTGCTGTAGATACAATTTTGAAAACCTCCACTTTGAGAAAGATAAGAATCCAGTCTTACTTTTGTGATATAATCAGTTTCCTTACCTTTCCAACCACTTCCATTGTAAATATCTTTTATAAAACAGACTGTCTAGGAACTCTTTAAATGGTTCATTTTTTAAATGTTCTAGAATTAATCTGAAAAATGAAAACAAAGAACACATTACAAAAAAATTTTTTACATTTGCCAGTGTCTTTCCTTCTATGACAATGCTAAAAAAATGAAATTCAATTTTCAATGACATCAGTCAGACTTTCTTGTGTATGGAAAGCAAACTGCACAAGACTTTTAGAAAGTCTTGACTGTGACTTCATATGACGTAGTATATATATTCATTATGTTGCATTCAATAACAAAGTCTAAATAGAGCATTTCGTCTTTGTAACATGAATAGAAATAAAAATATAAATATAAGAAATAAGATATCATTTTTAGAGTGTCAATGGAATATGACATAAAGTCGGTACGTGATCAAATCTACTATAGTGCCCTTCGGGCGTTATAGAATTTGATCACGTGACCAATTTCATGTCATATCCCAATGGCACTCTAAAAATGATATCTTATTTGTTAAATAAATTGTTCAAGTACATTTTGGAGCTTTAACCATCAAAAGTTTACCATCTTTCTTTTTATTTTATTATGTTGTTATCAAGTGCGTTATACAAGCTTAAGGTACACAGTGACTTTGATAAGAGAGATAACTCTTACTGAAATACATAACTACCATTCCTTAAAAAAGGCAAGTTAAAAGAATCCATTCCCATCAAATTTTCCCAATACAGTAAGTTGCAGTTGTGAAATTTTGAAGTATGAATATTTTTTTGTTGAAAATTCTCAGAGTTAAAACAAAATAATACAAGAGTGGATAGGGATGTACAGCCTTAAACATTTTAGGAATGGTTCAGTGTACTTACTCTACACAAGGGTTAAATATTTCTTTACTGCAGTTGTGACTGTGTATACTCTCCTGAATGGCTGTAATTTGATTTCCATTGACCTGACTCACGTAAGAATCAGACTGAAACAAAATTATAAAATATTAAATAATTTTTTTGTGGGCTAAATGGTCAGCATAGGGTATAAGGAACTGTCAAGTTGACTGCAAACTCAACTTGTTTCATTTCCAATGAATATAAACATCATTCACTGGTGTTTAATATACTAGACAGATGGGTAGATTAGATAACTATTATACTGTAAACCAACTTCTATTCGCGCACGACAAATATCCGTGAGTTTTGGCACCTACTTTTACTCATGAAAATTAATTGCTGCAAACCATTTATTTTGCTTTGTATTTATATAGAATGTTTCCTCAGTCGCAAAAATTAATCGTTGTGGATTGATTCCAAACTGACGCATTGTGAATAAATGATGATGCAAATAATAGTTGGTTTACAGTTTCCGGTTGCTTTGTGAATATTTACATGTGTATTTATTATCATTTCTACAAGTAGTCTATTTTCTTTCCCTACAAACAGAATATATATTTTTTGGGTGCTTAATTTCAACCTGTTGTAGATGTATAATTAGATTACTATATTTGGTACTTTGTGAGAAGATATCCATGTTCAATCAAAGCATAGTGTAATAGCATCTATAAAAATTTATGATGTCTTGAAATAAAAGGTTAGATATATATATTATTTTAACAGTAACTTGATCCAAAGGGTTGAATCACGTCGAGTTGACAGGTGTGGATCATCAGATCTAACGAAACGCTTGTTTTGAGTATCGCACAGTTTGATCTGATGATCCAGTGTTAACTACTGTACATACAGGCTCTTCGGATCATTCGCCTTTTCACACCTGCAAACAATTTTGTCCCATTTTAAATTTGCCCAGTCATAGTTTTGTTTAAGAAATTATACTGGTTTTTTTTAATTGCCCCTTTTTAAATTCGCCTGATTGAGATTAGAGTAAAAGGGGCGAAAATAAAAGGGGTGTGAAAATTTCCCTGCATACAGTATATGTTTTGTGGGTACATGTGCACTTTCAATCACAGCTCAGTGTAACTATATGCTTTGTGTGTGCATGTGCTCTTTCAATTAAAGCCAAGTTAACTGCATGCTTTGTGGGTATGTGTGCACTTTCAATCAGAGCTGTGTAATGGCTTGTTATTTGGGTAGATCTTCAATCGGGCCTAGTAGCAACATCTCTGAGGGTTACCTTGGGGTCTAGATATGTCTCATATACTGCTTTTGCTTCTTCCTGCCGTTTTTCATCTGGTGCCACTTCATAGATTGCCTGAAAAACAGAACGATGGCAGATCTACATCAAACACTAACAATTTTCAATTATCTTTATAATCCTGAAAACATGAAACTCTCTTCAAGTCGATATAAATAATGGCAGTTAATCCTTGAATCTCATTTTCAACATGCTATTATAGATATTGATCACTTGAAAATCATGTTTTTGTGGTAAATACAGAGAAGCTTGCCAGGTGCTTCACACCTGACAAATAATCACAAATCAGGATATTTACAGCTTCTCTTTATTGTATCAGAATTGAAAGACCATGATTTGTTAATTTTTTAAGAAATATTTTTTTTGAATTTCTTACCACTTGGTCCAAGAACTTGATGGCACGGGCAAGTTCTGGTTTCTTGGAACAAAATAATCGGAACAATTCCCTCCCTATTGGTTGTTGGTCAACAAGGTATTCATATGTATTAGCTACAAAAAAATAAAAGAATTCAAAGAAACTGAGAATTTAATCATAATTAACAGAATAGAAGCCTAAAATGTACATTTCAAGTCCACTTTATGCTTTTTATAAAGCTAATTTTTCATGTTTCATCTCAAGATTCTTGAGCTAGCTTAGATAGAAGCTCTTTGGTTCGTGGACTTAAAAAAATTATCCTTCAACCTGTGAACTCAGGGACTTGTATAGGCAAAACATTTAATTTTTCCCTCTTGTTGAAATTGTTATCTTGTATTACAACCCTGGCATTTGTCACATGGGTCAGTATGTATATATTGATACATATATAACCTGCATCAAAAACACACCTTTCTAAATCCTCCCTCTTTTTATTTTGATTGTCGCCTGTCGGAAGCATTGGAAATATCTAATTAAGTTTTAAAATAATTGTGAAATTTTCAACATGACTGACACTTTGTTTATGGGGAAAAATGATGACCATTTAAAAGTCATCAGTATAGTCTTCATATTCCTGAGGTTTGCACTGACTAATATTAAATCTTTTCAATATTTCAATGTAAAATTTGTTTATATATCTTTGAGGTATTAAATGCAATATCTATTTTCTGAAAGTAAGAAGGTGACAAATATGCATTCTAGTTTTTAATCACCTGAGACATAAAAACCAGTCAGGTGTGAAAACGAGATAAATTTTTATCATATTATCCTCCCACACACCTTGAGGAAATAATTAAATCAATAGGTAAACCTGCCATAACATTAACGTTTAATACACACCAGTCAAAAGTAAAAACCTTGAATGACACAACAAACTCAATGATTTAATCACTAAGGTGCAATCAGACAAGGTATAATTAACTAGGCCACGTTTTTTTAATAGAGTTCGTGTTGCATCTTCAAGAACTTGTTGATAAGACAAAATTAACCAATTCTTTCATTTCAATGCTAATCATCAGAGAAGGAAAGCATTCCAGAATCTTGAAATAGGGTGCTTCACTAGGCTAATAAATAAATGAGGTCAATTACTAGAATCCACAATTCTTAGGAGAGAGGGGAAAGAGAGAGAGAAAAAATAACACGAGATAAATCTGGGTTACTCACGAATTCTGTGATTTATGGCAGCTCTAAAGCTTATCAGTCGGGAACAATGTTACCCAAATCAAAAAAAAAGTTTTACAATGACCCAACAGATGTAGAACCAACCACGATTTCAAGTAATCCATGAAAAGAGTTGCTTTATTTTTGTAATCATTGGCATTCACATTTGCATAAATATAAAGGGGGAATGTGTTTCAGGTGAATACTGGGCTCTTGAGATATGCCAGGTTCCCAAAACAGGGACTTATTTCTCTCTGTTTTATTACCCCAATGCCATTATTTGAATGCCATAATTAAAACCAAAACAGAGCTCACATGAAATACATTTCTTCTGTCACTGTCAAAGTAGAATTACACTACAAGTAGTCAGTCTGTTGAACTGTTTGTCTAGCTGTCTATCTGTCTGTCTGTCCATTTGATATGACTTGCCCAAAATATATTCCCTCCATTGGGACCTATCTGGCTCAAACTTCACCCATTGTCCTTGTCCTGTATTTCTATAATAAGATGCCCTTTAAGTCTGACAATCTTTAAGAAAAAAAAAAACTTAAGATGTAGCTTATTTAAGTACCAGACAGTAATCCATTTAGCACCTTACAAAAACTCATGGCATGACCGACTGAAATATAAAATGTATGAACTTATTACTTTTCTCCCTCTGATATATTACATCAATACAACACGTGTTTCCGAATAATATTTCTTGGCTACTTTAGTATATTCATGTATCTGACACATTCATATTGTCTCTCTGATTATCATATCTCTGAATATAGTCAACAAAGTACGTCCAATACACAGACTAAACACAGCTGGGTTTGTTTTCCTTTTTTTACACGGCCTTAAAATTTATTTCTCTCGATGGTTTTAATTTCGAAAATTTCTTACAATCATTTAAACGTTTTTTAACAGCTGATAGACGATGGGTTTATTTTCACAGGCCACAAATCTCTCCTTCCCAGGTAGCACAGATCTTGATTTACCGTATCTGTGTCCCGTACTGATCATAACCCGATCAATACCGCGTAAAACATCCCCAGGTCAGGGGAAGTCAGGGCATATATCGACAGATCTGTGTCACGGGAACTTATTGTCTCTTGTTGTGCTATTTGTTTACACACACACAAGGACAATAGAAATGTAACAGGTAAATATGATCTTGACCACAAACCCTCGGGGCTCAAGGTCTGTGGGTGGGTGGGGAACACAGAGGACATTTATTTGCTATTGAAAAATTACAATGTGTGTCCCAGTTTTATTTGACAAAGGATCAACTCTAAAAATCCATCATTTCAAATGATCAGTCCAAATAATGCTTCAAAATCAAAGATGAGCTAACTTAAAGTCTTGATTAAAACATTATAAATATTGTCTAACCCCCCCCCCCCCCCCATTGAAGGAGCACAATAAATATTTATTACGCAAGTAAGTAATGTCCTCTTTCACTAAATTAAGAATTTATGAATCATATAATGATCCAGACCTTGCAAAAATCAAATGTGTGTAAGTTTGAACTCTACACTGCCAAATATGGCCTTTTTCTGCAATATTCTCTATAAAGTGACAAGGAATGTGATCAAAGGTATCAGATAATATATAAAATATATCCCAGTATCGACTTACGTATCGTATTCCGTAGATGTAAACAGGTGGATATGTGTGGAAATTTAAGGATTTGCTTCCATTTTTTACTCTTTCCTTTTCGCTTTCCTGTAAAATTAGAAAAAAAGAATAAAGAAAAGTGTTTTGCTGAAAACATTTCAGTAATATTTGTTTTTAAACATTATATACTTTGACTTAAACAACAATTTAGGTTATACTGGTAGTGTTATGAGGTAAACTACCACGGTAATACAATGCATTCTGAGAGCAGCCATATCCTATTTGTATTTAAGTGACCTTGACTCAACAGATTTGTGCATTTGAGTGACCTTTATCTGGCTCACTTTGCCTTGACCTTCAATGTGCCCAATATGATAATCCCAATAATTCAAGTTATAGCCACTGTTGCAAAAGCTGCACAGAAGCAGGCAAACAGACAGACAACCCTAGAAATAAACATGCTTCCCCTTTCTTCAAGGTAGGGCATACGTAATAATAATTTTTTAATTTATATTTACTATCTGATTATGGTCATCTATCCCTCAGGTTCTCTCAATAAGAATTTAAGCCACAATTAAAAGTCATGGAAAATTGTCTCTCAATTTACAGTGAGATTTTTTTTTTTTTTGGTTTTTCAAAGTAAGGCACATATAAATAAATTTTTACCAGTTTACTAACTTTACTCATTATCATAGATATAAAATATTCTTCTAGCTTTAAATTTGTAGTAAAAAGGAGCAAAAAGCCCACATGTAGAACAATCAAACTAAAACAATACACAGTAAAATTTCTCCCCTTATCACCCTCTACATAATGATAAATTTAGGCCTGGTGTTTATAATTCATAAAGATGTTCAATTCAAATTCTTTTAACTGATACACTCCTAATAAAATCTAGACTTCTGTGGATTTGATGAATTATAAACACTCCAAGATGGCAAACCACACCATACGTTAGGTCTAGATGAGGCATTTATGACCTCTCTAGTGCAAATGATTCCACATGGTTTATCATAAAGTCTGTAAAATAGTTTTAACATATTGGCAGTTGAGATGGAAGGAATTCTAGCTATTGCTGTCTATATATGCAACAAGCCAGCAATAAGCTACTGTAACAATACTTTTTAAGCAGTCTAAATACAATATATATTACAACAGTAATTATTTATGAGGAATGGAATTCTTTTGACCCCTGGAACCTCTGCTATTTAGACAAGATAGATTGCAACTGAATGAAAGATTTTCATAAAAAAAAAACCCAAAAACTGTGAAGATAAGGATGACAAAATAACTCCACACATTATCCTAAAAAGATCTATGAGAATATGAAGACGTTTGCAGTGAAATTTTGCCAAATATAAAACCAACAATACCATTTTTTGCTTTCTTGTCGTGAGGTTTTAGCAAAGAGAGTAGTTATTCTTATGTAACTCGTGATAAGAAGTTCCGATTAGATAACAGAGCAAAAAGAAAAAAATTTCGACCTAAAGAAAGGGTCTTAAAAAAGTAATGAAGCACTTTAAAGATTTCAAAATCAATATGGCATCAGGAGAGGGTAGCATAAGTGAATGACTTAAGTCTGAATTATACGTTCATCTTTTCGATTCCGAGCGAGCCCAGACTCAGCGGGCCTGTCTTCCCTTTCCCCCCTACCTGAGATTAGAGCGAGCCTTTAATATTTCAAACTTCAACGAGCATAATAAACCATTCACACAATGATGGAACCAATACAGCTAGGCACAGACAACTAAAATTCAGCAGAAAAATGGAATCTTAGAAAAAGAAGGAGATAAAATTCTTTTTTTGTATGAAGCATAAATTTCAATCGTTGATCAAGCCATTTCATTTCTTTCTCCTTAATGCCCTATCCATCTTTGGTTGCAGGATTTGCCACATTTACCCATCAAATCTGGCAACTTCCAAAATGGGTCTTCCAATCTCAAATCACTTTATTACAGCAACAGAAAGCAACTCTGCACCATGATGAAAACATGACGCAAAAAGTTTTTGGGTTACTAATTCTCAAGATTGTACCAAAATGACTCATTTTAATTAAGCCAATTAAAGAAAATAAGAAAGTTATATAGGGTTTAGAGACACGTATAGCATATGACTGGCAAATTTCAAAGGATCTAAAAACACTCAAACAATATATCAGAATACTGCGTATTATGTTTCAAAGAAGGCTCAATTGTGTCAGTAAAAATCAAAAAAAGATCTTTAAAGGTACTTAAGAGCTAATATGTATATATATGTATAACAGAGAGACTTTAAAAAGTGGATGGTTTTATATTCAAAACATCTGATGAAGAAATTTAGGTCAAGCCTCTCAAACACTTCTTTATGTACATTTACATACTGAATTTAACCTGCCTATCAGTACTTAAATAGTGATCAAATAGTACCGACGTTCTACTAAAAGTTTGCACTCTACTTATATTTACAAGTGCATGTGATGTTATTTACTAGTGCATGTACATACTTGATTTATCAGTCAATAAGTAAATAATCAAACAAGCAATATCAATTTTTTTTTCAAAAGCTCAGGTAAACACATGGATGTTTTATTGTATAGACCCCTTGTGTACTAGGTACCTGTGCCTAGGTATGGGGCAGCCTAGGACATTAGTATATGATAGGTCACCAATAAAATGTCACCTGGTAATGACCCGGTAATACTCTCGTCAATAACAACAAAAACCAACAGCTGGCCGGCCTATCATGCTATAGGCAACTGTGGATAACAAGATATTGGTGATAATATCCTTCAAAGTGTATTTCCATGAGAAACCTGCATGCATGCCCAAAGCCTTAATTTGCAGAATTACATGATTTGATAAATTGACCTAATTTTATTAAAGATTTGTCGACCATCTGAAAAAGTGTCTTCTTTGGCTTTAGTAGGAATGTTTTGTGGCTGAATTGTTCATATTTCAACTTTAAATGAAAACTGCAATTAGATATTCAATCAAAATTATCACAACAGCAACCCCCCTTTTTTTTGCTACTGCAAATCAAATAGAATTACATAAAATTGTTTTAAGCACAAATATTAATATGTTACTTTTCAAAAAGAGTTCTCAAAAATTTTAAACCACAGAAACTATCCCCATTATCATGATTATGTTATGGTTTTAAAATTTTTAGATTCAACAAATGACGTATCCTTCATCTGCACAAATTCTTATTTCCACTTAAGAGCCTCTCTTTATAAAAGTACTGAACAAACAACCTTAATATTCAAATTTAGGGTGTGGATAAAAGAATTTTTTTTACAACTTAATTCTCTCTTTTTTTAACTTCTCACATGACAAATATTTCATTTTTGGAATAAAAAAGAAAATGAGCACTAAAATGCCTTCAGCAGACGTAATTCTTTTCATATTGTAAACATATTATGTTTAAAATAAGGTACATGTACAATGTAATTTTAATCAGGACCAAGTCTTGCATCATATTCTGGGCATGACTTGTGGGTTTATTATTTTCATGGTTTGTGGGTTATTATTATTTTCCTGTGAATGAAATCTAACAGCAGGTCTGGCTACAAAGTTCCGTAATCGGAGCAACATTACTCAAATGACTGTGAAATCTGCGTGATACCAATGTCTGCTTCGTTGTACGTCATTTAAGAAAATCATGCACTTTATTTCTTTTTTTTTTACAGAAAAGAATTCTTAATATATTTACTAAATCACACTATCAAATACATTAAGAAAACCTCAAAAATAAGAAGAATTGAAGATAAAAAAATTAATAGGGAGCAACAAAACAGATTTTTCAATCCTTTTAACTCATCTGAACGCATCTACCTTGGCTGAAATCTTTAAACGAAATGATTTTCCCGCTGAGAAATGTACTACATCTACCCAATTATCACCATCGACATCATCAACTGCTGTGTCCTGCTCATACCGACCAAGAGCGTTTATTGTAATGATATGGAAATGATATCAACATAAGAGCATTCCCATTCTCCCGATATAATCTCACACACACACTGAAATAGCTTCAGACCCATTCCTGCAATATGGGAGACACCAGGAGGTAGACTAGAGTTTTCATTAATATTCTTGGAGAGGTCACTGGAGTCAAATCCCCAACAATATAGCAGACAGTGAAAATTTTTGAGTGTTACATGCAGAAATGATGAAAAAAATTCTTTTTCTGCTAATGAAATCATAGTACAAGGGTTTAAAAAAGTGTTACTCTGTAACGTCTATATTTTGAGGTTTGAAAACAGGTTACACTGTATCTAGGGTCAGGAAAAGCTGATTTGACTGTAGTTTACATCAAATACCCTTACTGCACTTGAACAATAACCTTCTGAATTCCCTTGTCCATCTACATATGATTTTGAACTCTTTATACCACCTGGCATTTTGCCATGGATAAAAAAAAAGATATTACCTGTGTTTCGAGACCAGTTGTGTATCTGCCATTCATGCTTCATGCCAATCTCCTAATTAAAACTAGGGTTACACAAAGTGTGTTAGATTAGACTGAATAGAAATTATCAACTTTAGTCCTCAACCAAAACTAATAAGGACTGATCTGTCTTTAAATTCAACACATTAATTCTCCGATTCACCTTTCAGTGGTATCCAAATCATGGAATGGTTAAAAGGAAGGGTACATTGAGTGCCATTTCCCTTTAGAAGAAATCTCATATTATTTTCGACACAATAATTTATTTCAAGCAAATTATTGGGGAAAAAATAATTTTCAGAAAATGCTAGAAATAGCAAAAGAAATACCCATTTTAAAATTCTTCTTGATTATTGAATAAGGGAATACTCTCTCCTAGACCCTTGGCCACTACCCCCTCCCCCTTTCCAAAAACCTGGTGACTGCCTTTGAGTGTACATATATACATAGTGTCTTATAGTTACTTCGTATTTTCTCTTTTTAAGTTTGATGTTTTACAGAGTATACAGTGGACCTTCAGATATCTGGATGCTTCAGTATCCGGACAACTTTTCATCGGAACAGATTTTTTAAAATGTTATTTTGTCTTGTTAAACTGGTAGTTCAGATATCCGGACAAATTAACTAGGAACCAAAGCGTCTGGATAAATGACGCTCCACTGTATCGGAACTACAAAATT